CCAAGGTACATGCCCTTGACCAGAATCGAACCCAGGGCCCCTCAGTCCTCAGGCTGACGCCCCATCCACTGAGCCAAACCGGCCAGGGCATATTTTAAAAGTATCATTTTGCTTCTTTTTATAAACAAATATCTGGGAAGAAAACGGCAATTTTTGTAACTTATAGGAAAGTAAGAAATCTTGAGGTCAAACTACAAAATAGCTATATTGGAACAAATTTTTATTTTCTAATTAAAAAATTATAATCAAATAGGTCTTCATGAATTAGCACCTTAGGAAGGCATCATCCAGATTTTAATTTCATGATCTCTCGTTTGTACAAAATAGCCCATTAATACTCTGCCTTCTAGGAACCTCTACAGGGCCTTGGGAAACTTTATGTTCAAAGATCTCCACATAACCCATGTAGAGTCTTCTTATTATAATATTACTAGAGGCCCGGTGCACAAAAATTTGTGCACTGGGGGGCGGTGTCCCTCAGACCAGCTGGTGCCCTCTTGCAATCAGGGACCCCTTGGGGGATAACCACCTGCTGGCTTATCCACGGGAGGCCCCGATGGGGGTGGGGTGGGCGGCGGCTCACGCTGTTCTACCCCGCCGTCTCAGGTCACACACGGGAGGCCCGACGGGCAGATCACGCTGTGCCGCCCCACCTGCAGTATGCAAATTTAACGGTCATCTTTGTTGGGTTAATTTGCATACTCTTCTGATTGGCTGATGGGTGTTGCGAAGGTACAGTCAATTAACATCTTTGTCTTTTATTAGTGTGGATTGTAATTACATGTTAGGAAGAATGTTTTATATCTGAAGATTACATTTGTAGTTGAACATATTTTTTGCTTTGTGAAGCTAAAGCCCTGCCTTCTGTTTTGTTTGTTTTTAAAATGTTTTTTGTTGATTTTTAGAGAGGAAGGAAAGGGAAAGCGAGATACATCGCTAAGTGAGAAACATCACATTGATCAGTTGCCTCCTGCACACCCCCTACTGGGGACCAAGTCTGCAAACCAGACATGTGCCCTGACTAGGAATCAAGCTAGCAACCTTTGGTGCATGGGACATGATCAGTCCACTGAGCAACACTGGGCTTGTTTGTTTTTAAAGTATGATCATATTAACTCATCTTTTCAAAGTTTATATCTTAACTCATGGCAAGTAAATGAAGAGATGTGAGAAAGTTTTCATTAGTTTAGAATTATTAAATACGGTGCCATCTTAAAGCAAGGGAAGGCTTGACATCACTAGGTCTCTTTAGCACCATTATGTTGTGGTGCTAACATATTGAATCTGGGATAGGGTAAATGGAAGTGCTGTTGCCAAGACCGGTTTGGCTCAGTGGATAGAGCATTGGCCTGCGGACTGAAAGGTCCCAGGTTCGATTCCGGTCAAGGGCATATACCTTGGTTGCAGGCACATCCCCAGTGGGAGATGTGCAGTAGGCAGCTGATCGATGTTTCTCTCTCATCAATGTTTCTAACTCTCTATCTCTCTCCCTTCCTCTCTGTAAAAAATCAATAAAATATATTTAAAAAAAAATGGAAGTGCTGTTAATAAAATAATATTCTGTTTACTTTGAGAGTATAAGGTTAGGAATATTTTCTTTGCCATGTTTGTTTTTAATTTGTTTGTTAGACATCCAAATTAAATCATGTAATACACTAGAGGCCCAGTGCACAAAATTCATGCACGGGGGAGGTGATGGTAATCCCTCAGCTTGGCCTGCACCCTCTTGTAATCCGGGACCGCTGGCTTCTAACTGCTGGCCTACCTGCCTGCCTGATCGCCCCTAACCATTTGCCTGCCTGCCTAATTGCCCCTAACCACTCACCTGCCTGCCTGATCGCCCCTAACTGCTTGCCTGCCTGCCTGATCACAATTGATCACCTGTCTTCCTGATCACCCCTAACTACCTCTGCCTTGGCCCCTGCCCCCGCAGCTTCATCCAGAAGGATGTCTGGAATGACATCTGGAAGGTCGTTTGGCTCTCTGGTGTAATTAGCATATTGCACTTTTATTATTATAGATGACCCAGGGACAACATGAGAGTGTCCCAGGCAAAAGGAGCAGTGAGAGTTAAAGCATAGCTCCGTGACTGCATGGGATTAAACATGCATGAGTGTTGGGGGCTAGGGACTTGGGTGCAGAAGAATATAGGGGAATTGGGGACCTGAGGAAGAGAAAACTAGAATTTGGGTAGTGAGAACCATTAGAGGGCTTTAAAAAAAATGGTTTGGTGCCTTAAAGGAAGTGGGGAGTGGGAATGGAGACTAGGAGACCAGTGTAGGAACTATTGTGATAATTTGAGTTATTCATGGATAGATGTGGGGTACATGAGAGGAGTCCTCTTCTAGGATGATTTCCAGGCTAGGAACTCAGTTGTTAGGATGGATGGTACTGTTCTCCTACTCTTCACGGAGATAAGCAGAGGAATAAGTTTATTGAGAAAGATTTTAGTGTTACTTTTTGGTGTGTAGAAAAATGGCAGGAGGCTCATAGTAAAATCTGAGGTTACAGCCTGAAAGCCATGTACCTGAGGTCACACAGGTAAGAAAGGGGTGATGTTAGGAAGGGGTGATGTGAGGACTTTAGTCCATCATTCTGACTCCAGAAACTGCATTTTCACTCATCCCATTATATAGCCTTCTGAGAGATTTAACATCAAGCTAAAAGTGGTAATTTGGACACTGTGAAAAGAATATACTTGGTGATTATATATTAAATTATGAAGTATATTAAATACTAAGAAGATATGTTGTTTAGGTTAGTTAGATTGAAAAAAATTAGAGTGTTATTATTTCAGACAGAAAACAGATACAGTCCATTCAAGAGGTTAGATATTAACATTTGAACCTAAATACAAACTTTTCAGTGGTCTATCACTTTTTAAAAAACACAGATTTTTTAAATTGATTTTGGAGAGAGGGAGAGAGAGAGAAACATTGATGGATTGCCTCCCACTGGGGACTGAACCCGCAACCTAGGCATGTGCCTTGACAGGGAATTGGACCAACAACCTTTTGGTGCATGGGACAATGCTCAACCAACTGAGCTACACCAGCCAGGGCTCTTTACCATTTTTTAACTATTATGTAATTAATGTACAAGTAAGTGAAAAGGTTTAAAATATAACTCGAGTCTACTACTCACAGTTAACCACTGTTAACATTTTTGTTTACATTTCCTAGTCCTTTTTCTTGGCAAAAATCATTATACATACAAAAATGTAAATGCAACAGTGCTTTATAACATACATTTTTCACTTGAAATGTAATAAATACAATAGAAATAATTTAAATTATAAGACTCCTGTGTTTCTTTTTATGGATCATCTTCACTCTGTTAAACCAACTTCTAATCTAGGTTCTTGCTATCTTTTGTCTATAACAGTGGTTCTCAACCTGTGGATTCCAACTCCTTGGGGGGTCAAACGACCCTTTTACAGGGGTATCCTAAGACCATCAGAAAACACATATATAATTACATATTGTTTTTGTGATTAATCACTATGCTTTAATTATGTTCAATTTGTAACAATGAAAATACATCCTGCATATCAGATATTTACGTTACAATTCATAACAGTAGCAAAATTACAGTTATGAAGTAGCAACGAAAATAATTTTATGCTTGGGGGTCACCACAACATGAGGAACTGTATTAAAGGGTCGCGGCATTAGGAAGGTTGAGAACCACTGGTCTATAATCTTAAAACATTTTGTTTTGTTTGCAGTGTGTAAATGTGATTTTTAAGATAATAGGATTTAATCCATTCTAAACAAAAATATTTGAAAATAATAAAGTAGATTTTACTTTTTCTCATTAAGGTTTTTGTTTTTCATTAAGGTTTTAATAGAAAAGGATTGGATCTCCTTTGGACATAAATTTTCAGAGAGGTGAGTCACTGTTATATATTTACATAATTTTCAAAATTAGAAAAAATAATTTAGAGTGCCAAAATGTTTGTTTTTAATCAGCTTGTATGTCCAGTGGGAGGTGAGAGTGTGATTTTTTTTTTGTATAAAGACTAATTTTTTTTGGTTATTTATTTCAATTCTCATATCTGTTAATTTTCAGGCAATTTATTAACCTTCCTATTTGTCTGGATTGTAGTAGATAGAAGGCAATAGATCCTTTAAAATTGTGGTTGAAAAACTTAGATATAAATTGTTTCAATAAAAACATTGCAGTTTTTTCTGCAATGGCACAATGTTTTAGGATTTTTAAAAATGTGTATTTAAATTTAACAACACCTGAACAATTGATTTCTTTCAGAGGCATTTTTAAAAGCTTGTACTTCTCTGGGGGGTGGTTAGGTGTGGCCATTTGGACGGAGACCCAAAGGAAGTTTCACCAGTGTTTACTCAGTTCTTGGAATGTGTGTGGCATTTGACTGAACAGTTTCCACAAGACTTTGAATTCAATGAAGCGTTTCTTCTTCAGATTCATGAACATATTCATTCATGCCAATTTGGAAACTTCCTTGGAAATTGTCAGAAGGAAAGAGAAGAACTCAAGTAAGACTGTTTGATTAAATGGGCTCCTTTTTTTCTTCTTAGCTGAGGACTAACATAAATTATAGTTGAATAAAATACATTATGAAATAGAACTGAATTTTTTGTAAAGATTTTATTGTCTATACTTCTGAAGCCAAGTATGCTCTGAATATCTCTCACATCCTCTGGTTAATAGTAGAAATACATTTTTTAAATGTGTTTTAAAGTATAGCATATATACAGAAAAGTACATGTATTGTAGGTGTGAAGCTCAATAAATGTTAAAGTTCTCCACCTGTGTAACCAGCACTCAGAATAAGAAATATTTCCAACACCCTCGAAACACCCCTTATGCTCCTTTCCAATCTGAATACACACACACATACATATACATACACACACACACACACACACATATTTTAAAATCTTTACATTTCATTTCCCAGAAAGTATTGGTCACAATGTTTTAAAGTGTGGTAAAAGATTGTACAACTCTTGGGTAATTTAAGGTAACATGAAGCCTTATAGCTCTCCTCACATTTCTAAATAGACAGTTCTTTGGGAAAATAAGTGTTCCTATGTTGGCTTCCAGTGTGTCTATCCTGATTGGGTCTTACACCTGTTCTTCCCTAACTGGTCTTTGGGATTAGAGGCTTCTGGCTAAAAGTGTGTGTGTGTATTAGGTTGGGCTTCTAAGATTAGATTTTTTATAGTAGTCAGTCAAGAGCAGTTATAGATTTTTTAAGATCTGAGTGACATATTAGAGAGGCTAAATCTGGTGGTAGTTTGAAGACAACCACATACTATAACTCCCAACAGAATTGAAGGCAGAATTGAGAGCAAGTGGAACATTCTAAAGATGTGTAAAGGGAATAATAAGTGAAATAGAGTATGACAGAGATGAACAAATCAGAGACCATTAGAACTTTACCTCTGTGCTATAGTATCTTACAGTGGTTTTTTCATAATTAGGAGAGGTGACTTGAAGCACAGAGCTATTTTAGGAAAAACTATTGTCAATTATGAATATGGATGAACAAATCCTTGTAAATAGGAGGGTGGTAATAAAAGTACATTTTTTTTAGTATTTCTTTAAGAACATATCTATTACTTATCTTAGGGGTTATGGAAAAATGAGCAGATTCTCCACTGTTTCCTCTGTATCACTGGTTTATGTTTCTTTGTTAAATATACTATCTAAAATAATCTATGCTTTTTTCACCTACTTCACCTACTTACTCTTAGGTTTGCAGTATAATTGGCATTTTAAAATTCTTGAATACTGTCCTGATTTTCCCTAATTTCCTTGTTTTGTACCCACTCACACTTAAATTTGTCCCTGCCCTGTAATACATGCCATTACAGCCCAGATATGGGGCTAGGAGAATGAGGCTAAACAGAAATACATTAGCATTTTATTCTATACTAGAGGCCCGGTGCACAAAATTTGTGCATGGGTAGGGTCCCTAGGCCTGGCTGGTGATCAGGGCCAATCAGGGCCTTCCCCCGGCTGACAGCTGCTGGCCAGGGTTTTCCTTCGTTCTGCTCTGCCCCCTGGTGGTCAGTGCATGTCATAGCAAGCAGTGGTGCTTGGTTGGTTGAACTCCCGAGGGGATAATTTGCATATTAGCCTTTTATTATATAGTATACAGTTGACCCTTAAACAATTTGGTGGTTAGGGGCACTGACCCCTGTACAGTTGAAAATCTGCATGTAATTTTTTAAGTTGATCTTCTGCATCCATGGATTTGAAAGTACTGTTTTTGATCATGATCGGTTGAATCTGTGGATGTGAAACCCAGGGATATGCAGGGCCAATTCTTTCTTTATCGAAAAAAAAAAACCACCTATGTATAAGTGAATTTGTGCAGTTCAAACCTGTGTCATTCAAGGGTCAGCTGTATGTGTGTGACGATTTGAAGTAGGTATAACATAGACCAGACGAAGATTATGAAATTGTGTGAATTAAGAGAGGAATCTCTTAAAGTATGTGGTTTGAGAGAAAACAATATACCTGTGTTGTGTTTGATAAACATGGTTTTATTAAATGACTATAAGTAGAAAAGGAGAGGAGAATACAGAATTCAGACAAGATAACGTTAAACTATGAATAGAAGGAAAAACTAAAACTTATCTACTTGTGAAAAAAATTGTCTGCTTTATAAAACTGAGTATTGGCATCTGTGAGAAAGGTCTTTACATTTTTCCCATTATATAAGGTTAAAAGAGAAGACTTACTCCCTGTGGCCATTTCTTCTGGATGACCAAAAGAAGTACTTAAATCCACTGTACAGTTCCAATTCTCAGAAATTTGCTGTTTTGGAGCCAAATACAGCATCTTTCAATTTTAAGTAAGTTGGCATCTTTAAATATTTATGTTCTTATTTTTTTTAAATACATTTATTTATTGAAATTTTTTCCTTTTTGGTCATAAAGGTTTTGGAGAAACATGTACCACCAATTTGATCGAACATTGCATCCCAGGGAGTCAGTGTGTAACATAATTATGAATATGAATGAGCAAAATAAACAATTAGAGAAAGACATTCAAGACTTAGAATCTGTAAGTATTTTGAATTATCTAATGTCATATATTTGGAGTATTAGTATTATTGTGTTCTTAAATTAGTGTAAATTAGTACGTATAGAAACCTTGCAAGTACACATGGTTGCTTCAAAGTTAGATCTCTATTTTGAATAGGTTAGTTTGAATCACTTTTCCTGAATTTTAAGATATATTGAAATATCCGAAGTATATAGAGAAGTAGAAATATAAAATAATAAATATCAGGGTATGTACCACCTAACTTTGTGAGATTGTAACATTTGTCATATTTGTTTCAGATCTTTCATGCTTTTGTTTTAAGAAATGAAACATGATATATTTGAAGACCCTTATACTCCTTTTCATGCTCCCCCTGTGTACTTTCACTTAACTTGGTGTTAATTATTCCTGTGAACATGTGTATACTTCTATGTATGTTTATATCCACAACTTACACTGTTTTGGTGATTTTAAATACTATTTTTATCATATATTAAAAAATAAAAAAGAATATAGATTTTGTATGCAGTGTAAAGGGCAACAAACAACATGAAGGCCCCTGTACCTTTCCCTCAGCTAAGAAGTTGCATGTTTGAAAAATATATAGAGATTGACATACTGTCGTGCTTCATTTTGCTCAACATTGTTTTGAAATTTATTCATGTTGATATGTGTAGCTTTAATGCATTTCTTTTGTTAATGATTACTGTGTAATATTCTCTTGTATGAGTAGCTCACAGTTTATCCTTTCAGCTGCTGAACATTTAAATTGTTTTTAGTTTTGGATTTCCATAACAATTAAAGTTGAATGATTTTCATATGTTGGCTGGCCATTTGGGTTTCCCTTTTCTGTGAATGACCTATCTTTTGGCCTATCTGCCCTTTTCTTATTGATTTGTAAGAGTTTTTTATATATCAGACACTGATTCTTTTTTAGTTAGATATATCACAAATGGCTTGTCCTTTCCATTTTATTTACAGTATATTTTGTATAGATGCTTTGAATTTTAATGTAGTCAAGTTTATCAATCTTTATGTTTTATGCTTTTTTTTTGGTACCTTGTTTAAGAAATTTCACCCTAGCTGGTTTGGCTAAGTGGATAGAGCATTGGCCTGTGGACTGAAGAGTCCCAGGTTCAATTCTGGTCAAGGGCACATGCCCAGGTTGTAGGCTCAATCCCCAGGATGAGGCGTGCAGGAGGCAGCTGATCAATGATTCTCTCTCATCATTGATGTTTCTATCTCCCTTTCTCTCTGAAATCAATAAAAATATATTAAAAATAAAAAATGTGAAAAACATTAAAAAAGAAATTTCTCTCCACCCTAAGACTTTTCTATAATCTTTTCTTTGCCATCTTACCTAATAATAGACAAACATGTAAATTGACCATCCCTCTGCTACGCTCACCAGCCAATCTGGAGAGTATGCAAATTAACCCAGCAAAGATGGCGGTTAGTTTGCATACATAGGTGTGAAGCGGCGGAGCAAAGGCTGAAGGCTCCTGCTGGAGCAGCGAAGGCCTGCGTCCTGGGTGCCGGAGGAAAATCAGTGCCGGCAGCCGGGGAAGGGAAAGCCTATTGCACGAATCTCTTAGTGCAACGGGCCTCTAGTCATATATAATCAAAAAGAATTAGTAAGTATATATTTTAAAAACCCTAGACAGTTGTTATAACTTGGTCTTGTCTGTCTCTCAGGCAGGGGTGTTCCTTAGTCATCCAAGTAATGACTGCTTGAGTAAACTGGAGGACAATGTGTTAAAAGAGGCAGGCACAAGATATAGGTAATTCCGAAAGATTAGTTTGCAGATTAATCCAGTGATTTGGAGAGTGCCATACTCTGCCAAAGATTACTTTAAAAATCTTCTGTTCAGTTTTTTAAAAATATTCTGTGTTTTTAAAGCCTGTTGTGCTCATCTCACAAACTATTGTAGAAAAACCATGTAGGTTTTATGCAATAAAATCTTTAGCTAAATAAGTGTGTATTTGTTGTATTATTTAGTTGTGATCTCAGGGTGAATGTCTCATATACATTTCTCATATACAGTTGTTTAAATATGTACTATGTGCAATTAGTAATTTTTTTCAAATTTGTATTTGTTCTAGAAAATTAATAAACGCAAAAATGAGCAAATAGATGGAGTTCTCACCAAGGAATTGTTACATCCAGTTCATCCTGAGTCACCTATCATCAAAAGCTCCCTATGTTTTAAGGAGCAGACTCTGTTACCTGTGAATGATACTCTTCGAACTATAGAGGGCAGCAACCCAGCGGATAATCGTTACAGTGAATACGCCGAGGAGTTTTCCAAATCTGAAGCTGCTGTGGTCAGCTTAGAGTATGGGGTGGCAAGAATGACTTGTTAGACTCCTAAAGTATTTTCTGGACTGACTGTAATGCAAGAATTGGATCATTGTAAGGATGATCTGTGTGCATGATGAAAAGGAATTTGTCTAATAAAGATCTTAGAGTTTAATAGTAGGTTAATCATTTAAGGAAGGAAAATAACTGCTCTTGTGAGAGGAGTTAGTGTAACTGCATTTCTAGTAAGGAATGACTTTCAGTTCTTTAAGAAACAAGTGATACTGACATTTATTCAAAACACAATTTGCATTGTATACTAGCAAATTGACATTTCTGTATGATTTATATGATAATTAGAGTCAAACATAAGTAGCTTTACCTTACTATAATTTAATTACCAGTAAACAGAACTTGACAAGGCAGTCCCTTAATAAATGACATGGCATGTTCTTTCAATTATGCAACCATGTAACTGAATTTTTACATATTTTACCTATAGTGATGTTTAATGTTGTGCCATGAAAAATATTTCTAAGAAAGCCTTAAAATCTCAGTTTATTCTTTACTCTTAGGTTTTATAGCCGAGAGCAGAATTTTGTGTTTGGTTTTCTTTTTGCCAGCTTTGTTTTATCTGTGAAGTCTGTACTCATTACTGCAGGCCTTGCATGCTACACTACTCCTATATAGAAAGTTGCACAGGCACACTGTTAAGTTCATGTGTAGCTTATCCCGCTTCCATAGTCAAAATGAAACCACAGTTTTTATTCTATTTACAATTTGCTTAGTACTACATTTGATGCCTTATTATTTACAACATAGGTTATTGATTTTTTAAAATATGTTTTAAGCACATTTGACCATCTTTCATATATGGGTTACTGCATTCTATTGATTCTTATTTTGTGGTTGGCTTTATTCTTTTGATAACTGTATTTTTAAAAATACAAAGTTCTAAAGCTGTTTTTAGAGCAATGAATAATACGTACATATTTTAAAGTTGTTTTATCTCTCAATGAGTTATTGCTCTTCCTAGAATATTTTACTTTCAGTTTACCTAAACATTTTGGGATAAAAATCAAAAGGGGAATACAGATAGTTATATTTTGCTTGGTTATATAAATCTTAAAGCAGTCATTTCTATATGGAATACTATTTTCTGTTAATATATAAGTAAAAAGAGGAAAATGAAAGGTAGCCTAATACAAAGTTAATATTTAACAAAAACAACTTAACTGCTGGGAAGAGTTTCATTTTGCCATGTTTTGAAAAAAAAGCACTGGTAGTTGATGGTTAGGCAACCCACATTCACACAGGGCCTGGATGCCTGAGGTAGGACTGCTGGAGCCAGCTGGCTTCAGAATAGAAAATATAAGTAACATGGTGGCACGAACTATAATTCAAGGGTATAAAGAAATCTGCAAAGGGCCCTTCATGCTTCTCTTTATTATACCTATATCTATTATTAGTTTTGAGCATAAATATCTTTTTCAAGTGGAACAAAAGCTTTATTGTATGAGAACTTATCAAATCCCATTTATTTTTCCAATGCTTTTCTGTAACAAATTATGTAATTAAAATACCCCTTTATAAGCAGTAACAGAAATACACTGTATATAAAATATAATTTGTGATATTTAAGCACTGGGACAGGAAACTTAATCTTTGTGACCACAAAGGGAAAGCTTTTGTGCCTTGTTATTTGGTTCCAATACTGATTGTGGTTTTAGAATCTTCCATAGAAGACATTCTATAGTCAGCTCTTTGGTTTATTATCTTACAGTCTTCAACTTGAGGCAGATATATGTATGTTTATGTGTTCTCACATGGACTGAAAAATCAGTTAACATTCTATATAGGGTATATATTGGCAAAAGGCAGATTGTGTATGTCTTATAAAGTTGGATTTATGTTCAATGTGTTTGGGAATGTATAGCATGTAAATTATTTCATATATTATTTAAAGGTAATTAAATGTTCAGGTTTTACTTTAAATGTTTTGCTTTTGGGGAAAAAAAATGGGATCAAGTTGTAGTTGTTTGTTTTCCCTCTCCTCGGCAAATGGATCTGCACCTTACACTAATCATAACAGTATCAGGTTTGAGCACTTCATTTTCCAAAAGACAGATGTTGACAGTGGGCTAAAAGTTCCAGCAAATATAGCTGGTAACGTCATTAAATTTTCCTTTTGTGGTCTTGTCACTTCCTGTTGTTATAATCAGGATTTTATCTTGCCCTTACCAACTTGTTGATGGAAGGCAGTGTCCAATGAGTATGCACATTCAAACTGAAACGTCTCTTCAAAGGCAGATCTGGATGTAAACATGAGGAAGAAAATGATTGGCAGAGAAGAATATTCATTTTATTTGTGGGTGTTATGAACAGGGTTAGCTAGGCTAGAAATAGCTCAGGGAGTCTTGACTAAATCAAGATGAAAGGAACTTTCCTTCCTATCCTCCAAATTCTCTTTATTTGGTGGGATAGCAGGACAGTGCAGTAGTATCGGGATACTAAAAATAAAAAAATCAGGTTTTACAGCACATATTTAGAGTTGTTTTCAGTTACCAGCAAAATTGAGAGAAAAGTCCAGATATTTCCCATATACCCCTGACCCCACACATTCATTGCTTTCTCTATTATCAGCATCTCCCACCAGAGTGGTACATTTGTTACAATTGATAAGCCTACATTGATGCATCATAATCACCCAAAGTCCATAGTTCAGAGTTTTAGCATATATTCTGTGGGTTTGAACAAAATGTATAATGACTTTTATAGTACCATACAGAGTATTTTCACTTCCCTAAAAAACCTTTATGCTCTGCCTATTCATTCCTCCTCTTCTTCCCCTCAACTCCTAGGAACCACTAACCTTTTTACTGTCTCCATAATTTTAGCAGAATGCCATATAGTTGGAATCATTTAGTATGTAGTCTTTTAGATTGGCTTCTCTCACTTAGTAATATGCATTTAAAGTTCCTTCATGTTTTTATCATGACTTGATGACTTTGTTTCTTTCTTTCTTAGCACTGAATAATCTTCATTGTCTATATCTACCAGAGTTTATTTGTCTATTCATCCACTGAAGGCCATCTTGGTTGCTTTCAAGTTTTAGCAATTATTAATAAAGTTTCTATAAATATCCATCTGCAGGTTTTTGTTTGGACAAAAGTTTTCAACCCCTTTGGGTAAATATTAAGGAGCATGATTGCTGGATTATATGGGAATAGTATGTTCAATTTTGAAAGAATTTGCCGAATTTTCTTCCAAAGTGGCTGCACCATTTGCATTACCATTAGCAACGAATAGAGTTCCTGTTGCTCCACATCCTCACCAGTGTTTGGGGTTGTCAGTGTTCTGGATTTTGGCCAGTCTAATAGGTGTATAACTAGCCTGGCCTTTTTTGACTTTTGTTTTTTCAGGTCTACTTTAAAATACTGAAAAACTTCCAGTTAACATTCTTAAGTTGGATGAAATACTGATCATCTGCAAAACTATATAGAGCTATTGAAGACTCATCAGTGACATTGATTCATTTTCATTAGCCAAGTTGTAGCTATTTTGTTGGCTTTTCCATGTAGTAACCCAATTGGCATTACCATGTCTCAATTGATTAAAATAAAATGTAGAACCTATTTAAAAGAATACTTAACTAGAAAAAACCATCCTGAATAATCAACTGAGGACTAGCTGGAGAGAACCCTGATAACCAAGGATGGAACGTGGAGAACGCATAGAGACTGATAAGAAGGGCTGAATGGGCGGATGTTTCTATCTGCTTTGGCTTTTTAAGAGAGTTCCTGCATTTCCAGCCGTCTCTCCCTGGCAAATGGCATTTTTTAAAACTTGATTTCAGAGAGGGAGGGAGTAGGAGAGAACAATAGAAACATCAATGATGAGAGAAAATCATTGATTAGCTGCTTCCTGCATGCCCCATACTGAGGATCAAGATGTACTATGGGCATGTGCTGTGACTGAAATTGAACCTGGTACTTACTCTTCAGTCCACAGGTCCAGACTGTTAGGCAACCTGCTTTGCCATTTGGGCCATGTGATGAAGCAGATGGGGATGCTGCTTGGAGTCTTTGCAAGGCTTCTAAAGGCGATTGTCAACACAGGCCATCAGGATTTTTGAGAAAAGACCTCCTTTTGAAAATAATGCTTGGGTAACTACTGGGCATTGGTAGAGACTGAATGTTTAGCCCTGGATTACCAAGTTACTATGCAACTTGAGCTGACTATCTAAACTGGGGTTATCTGACCCAGCAAGCCATAAAGTTGTGTGGGCACAGCATCACTCCATCATCAAATGCAAGTGGTAGGTATGTGATGAGTAGTCCTGGGAGGCACAGGTAAGTTACATGAAGAAATGGCCCAAATGTCCACGATCTCCATTCTCTCCCCCAGCCTGCATGAATGGCCTCATACAGAGTTCCCTACAACCAGTTGATAAAGAAAGAGAAGACTTAGGCCAGGCTCACAGATGTTTGTGTATGATACGCAGATACCACTCCAAAGTGGACACCTGCAGCACTACAACCCCTCTCTGGGACATCCCTGGACAGCGGTGAAGGGAAGTCTTCCTAGTGGGCAGAACTTTGAGCAGCACTTTGGTTGTTCACTTTGCTTGGAAGGAGAAATGACTAGATGTGCAATTATATGCCAATTCATGGGCTGCAGCTAATGGTTTGGCTGGATGGTCAGAAACTTGGAACATGATTGGAAAATTGGTGGCAAGGAAATTTAGGGAAGAGCTAAATAAATAGAACTCTCTGGGCAAAAAATGTGAAGATATTTGCATCCCATGTGAATGTCCACCAAAGGGTGACCTCAGCAAAGGATAGGATGACCCATTCTGTGGATACCAGTCAGCCTCTTTCCCCAGACACCCCTTTTGTCACCCAATGGGCTCATGAGTAAAGTGATGGTGGTAGAGATGGAGGTTATGCATGGGCTCAGCAACATGGACTTCCACTTACAAAGGCTGGCCTGCCTTGGCCACTGTTGAGTGCAAGTCTGCCAGCAGCAAATATCAACACAGCCCCTGATATGGCCCAGGGTGGTCCCTGTTCCTCAGGGTGATCAGCCAGCTATCGGGTGGTAGGCTGATTACATTGACCCATCATGGTAGGAGAAGCATTTTTTTCTTACTGGATAGACACTCTGGATGTGAATTTGCCTTCCCTGCATGCAATATTTCTACTAAAACTGCCACCTATGGACTAACAGAATGTCTTATCTACCATCATGGTATTCCACACAGCATTGCTTCAGATCAAGGAACTCACTTACCAATAGAAGTGTGGCAATGGGCCCAGGCTCATAAAATTAATTGGTCTTACCATTTTCTGTACCATTGTGAAGTGGCTGGTTTGATAGAGCAGTGGAACGGCACTTTGAAGACCCAGTTACAGTGCCAGTTAGGTAACAATACCTTTCTAGGACAGGGTGCTCAGGAAGGCAGTGTATGCTCTGAATCAGTATTCAATATACAGTAGTGTTTCTCCCATCTCCAGGAATCAAGGGATGGAAACAGGAGTGACACCACTATTTCCCCTAGTGGCCAACTAGCAAATGTTTGTTTCCTGTTCCCACAATGTCATGCTCTGCTAGCCTACAGGTGTTAAGTTCCAGAGGGAGGAATGCTTTTACCAGGAGACATAACAATGATTCAATTGAATTGGAAGTTAAGTGTGCCACCTGGCCACTTTGGGCTCCTCATGCCTCTTGGTCAACAGGCAAAAAGGGAGTTGCTGTGCTGGCTGGTGTGATTAATCCTGACTACCAAGGGGTAATTGTACTGCAATTCCACATGGGAGGTAAGGAATACAGGAGATCCCTTTGGGCGTCTCTTAGTATTACCATGCCCTGTGAATAAGGTTAATGAAAAAATGTAACAATCTAATTCAGACCAAATTGCTAATGGCCCTGACCCTTCAGGGATATAGATTTGGGTCACTCTACCAGGTACAGAACCATGACCAGTGGAGGTACTTCCTAAAAGCAAAAGGAGTACAGGATAGTGAAAGAAAAGTATTTATAATATTAGCAGTGACCACATGACCAGTTATAGAGTGATGATTATAACTGTCAGGAGTCTGTGCTCTGTGTTTTGTTATTAATACAAAACAAATATTGTTTTTTCTCTCTTATACCCTTATCATGTAGCATACACTGTATTGATTTTATAATGTTTAAGTATTGTTAAGTTTTAAATCATAACATAAGTTACAGGAGAAAAGTAAACATCACTTAAAGACTATTTCCTTTTTTGGGGAAAGGGTTAGTGCTTTTTTAGTTGTACAAAAGATAATTGTATCATGTTAGGTAGAATTATGACCTTGTTATTATTTTTATTTGGAGATTAAATATGGTTTAGGAGGTGTGTATGAATGCCAAGTTGACAAGGAGCAGACTTGTGGTGTTTAATTTTGTATATCTACTTGACTGTGTTATGGGTTCCCAGATATTTGGCTAAGCATTATTTCTGTATGTGTCTGTGTGTATGTTTTCAGCTGAGATTGGTGGACTCAGTAAAGCAGATTAGGGAGGGCATTATCTAATCCATTGGGGGTCTGAAAGAACAAAAAGTGAAGATGGACAGAATTCAACCCTTCTTTTGCCTGAGTGCTTGAACTGGGACATAAGTCTTTCCTGCCATCAGACTGGTTCTCAGGCCTTTGAACTTGGACTGAATTGTACCTCTGGCTTTCCTTGGATCCCCAGTTTGCCAGCCAATGGCAGATCATGGGATTTCTCAGCCTCCGTAATCATGCGGGTCAATTCCTTATAATAAATTTACCTCTGTATATGGTTCTGTTTCTCTGTAGAACTCTGACTAATACAGCTATTAGCCTTAATTAGTACTAATACATTATCCTGTAGGACCCCAGAAGAACGTAGCTATTCTTCTTACGTTATTATTATTGTGGTAAAATGTTTCAAATTTACCATTTTAAATGTAAAATTCAGTGGTATTAAGTACATTTACAGTGTTGTACAATCATCACCCATATCCATTTGCAGCACTTTTTCATCATCCCAGCAGAAACTCTGTCCCCATTAAACAATAACTCCCCACTGCCCCTGGCAGCCACCTTCTACTTTCAGGCTCTATGAATTTGACTATTCTAGTTATCTCATAAGTAGAATCATGCAGCTTTTGTCCTTTTGTGTCACATTTAATTTAGCATAATGTTTTCAAGATTCATCATATTTTAGCATGTGTCAAATTTTTATTATTTTTTATGGCTGAATAATATTCCATTGCTGTATACACCACATTTTGTTTATCCATGCATCTGACTCTGGACACTTGAGTGGTTTTTAATCCTCTGACTACTGTGAATAGTGCTGCCATGAACATTGGTGTACAATTAACTGTTTGAGTCTCTGCTTTCAATTCTTTTGGATAAATATCCATAAGTTGAACTGTTGAATCACATGTTAACTCTATGTTTAACCTTTTAAGGAACAGCCAAACTGATTTCCACAGTGACCACACCATTTTACATTCCCACTGGCAATTCATGAGGGTTCCATTCTCCAAATTCTTGGCAACACTTGTTATACTCTACTTTTTTTTTGTTTCATAATAGCCATCCTAATGGGTATGAAGTAACTTTTAAGGAACAGCCAAACTGATTTCCACAGTGGCCACACCATTTTACATTCCCACTGGCAATTCATCTTATTGTATCTTATTGTACTTTTGATTTAATTTCCCTAATGATTAGTGACATTGATCATCTTTTTATGTGCTGATTGGCCATCTGAATATTTTCTTTAGAGAAATATTTATTCAATTCCTCTACTCACTTTTGAATCAGATTGTTTGTTTTTTGAGTTGTAGAAGTACTTTATATATTCTGTATATTAATCCCTTTTCAAATATATTATTTGCAAGTATTTTTTCCCATGCTGTGGGCTGTCATTTCACTCTATTTATAGTGTTCTTTGATGCATAAAAAAATTTAATTTTGATGAAGTTCTACTTATTTTTTTCTTGTCTGCATGTACTTTTGGTGTCAAGTCCAAGAAATTATTGCCAAATCTGGTATGAAGCTTTCCTCCAATGTCTTCAAAGAGTTTTATAGTTTTAGGTCTTATGTTTAGATCTTTTATCAATTTTGATTAAATTTTTGTA